CCAAAAAAAAAAAAAAAAAAAAAAAAAAAAGGTCGCGATCGCGATCTCCGAGGGCAATTCGGCGGGAGGTCCTTTGCTCCCAGTGGGAGTGAGGGACCGTCCGCCGAATTGCCGCCGAACACCTGGACGTGCCGCCCCTCTCCAGAGCGGCCGCCCCAAGCACCTGCTTGCCAGGCTGGTGCCTGGAGCCGGCCCTGGGTGCCGGAGCCTGGAGCTCACTCTGCTCCCGGCTCTGCAGGAATCCAGGTGGGCACATGCCAGCCCCCCTCTGCACCCCACAGGGTGCCGGTCTCCATGGCCCAGCTCTGTCCCCAGCCCGGCTCTTCTCCCCACAGCCCCAGCTGGGCAGTGTTAGTACAGCCAGGGCCAGCGCCGAGCCTGCAGCTCAAGGGGCTGCCATGGGGACCCGGGGAGCTCAGGCGGGGGAGGGGGATCTGGGCAGGGCTGGGACGCTGCCCTCAGGCGACAGGCCGGGCTGGGAGCCCAGGGCAGCCGGAGCGCAGGGGGATCCTGGGGGTGGCAGGCGGCTGTGACAGGCGCGTGTCCCCACAGGGTCGAGCGAGAGGAAGATGCTGCTGCTGACGCGGGTCGTGTTGCTCTCAGCGCTCTGCGCCGCGGCGCTCGGTGAGTTCGGACCCCCTGGGCCGGGGGTGGGGGGCAGGGCTGGGAATCCCCGATGCAGCGCAGAACCCAGGAGGCGGAAACGCAGGCGTGGGAAATTAACAATGGAGGCACCTGACTAACCCACCTCCTGGCCTGGCGCCCGGGGCTGGACTTGCCCCTGCAGAGCTAGAGATGCCCCTCGGCTTCAGTCCAGCCCATCCCTCCGCAAGGCAGGGCTGGGTCATCCCCTGCCGCCCGTTCCCAGAGCCCTAGTGTTCATCGGCCCACGGGACGAGGCCCCTGACCCTGCCCAAGGGGAGCCGATCCCAGAGTGTCGCACACCTCCCGCCCAGGCCGTGTCCCCTGCCAGCCCAGCTCAACCCGAACTGCCCTGGGGCAACCAAGAGCCAGAAAGGGCCAGCTCCCAGCATGCAGAGGGGCAGCGAGCTGAGGCTGTGTGGGGAGGGCAGGGGAAAGGGGGCTGGGGAGGGGGAGAGCAGGGGCAGAGGTGGGGTGGGGGGGAGCTGTAACAACACTAGCTGGTCCCCAGCTCCCACCAAGGCCCTCTTAGCAGGATTCATGCTGGGAATGTCCCTGCAGCCAAGAAATCGCCCCCGGATCAGAGCAGGGCCCATCTACCCCGGTGCTCCAGCAGTGGCCAGTGCCAGATGGTCCAGAGGGAGGTGACTGACACCCCCTAGTGGCCCACAATGGAATAACCCATCCACAGGGCAATTTCCTGTCTGTTCCCACCATGGAGTGGCTGCCCCAAGCCCTGGGGCGGGAGCCCGTCCAGTCCCACGCTGGCTGGTCTCGTTCTCCATAGAAACCTCTGATCCGTTGCTGGATCCTGCTCGTGGCCCAGTGACAGCCAGTGGCAGCGAGTTCCACAGGCCGATTGTGCCCAATGAGCCTTTTCTCAGGGTCGGATGCTCTGACCTTCCAGTTTGTGGGGCACTGGACTCCATCCTGGTCACCCCGACTCGGAAGTTCCTGGCAGAGGGGCAGGGGGGTCAGCAGTGGGAGACCTGAAGGATCAGGGGCCTCCCGGATGCAGAGAGAGCGGAAAGGCTGCAGAGCAGAGGGGACAGGCTGGAGGGCTGCAAGTGACTGGAGGGGGCAGAGGAGACAGACGGGTTCTGAGCCGCACACCCTGGGCAGGAGCTTCCCCAGCCCGGGGTGAGTTCGGAGCACCAGCCCCACCCACGTTCTCCAGCCCAGCCCTTGCTTGGCCTCCCTCCAGCCCGGCCTGGCTCCCCATTCGCCCCTTTGCTGCCAGCGGCGGGTGCTGCTGCACGGCGAGCAGGCTCCCAGCCAGGCCTCTCCCCAGCCCCGTCACATTTAACGCAGGGCTGCGCGTCCCCCCTGCGCCGTGCTGGGCCTTTACTGGCCCCACCCCCACCCCATTGCCGCGGCCCCACTCAGAGCACCAGCCCTGGACCCGATCCTGCTGCGTGGGCTGGGGCAGGTGGGGGGCAGCCACATTAACCCAGCCCTTTCTCCCCTCCCCCGCATGGCACAGGCTGCCCCCGCATCATCTCACGCCGACAGTGGGGGGCCCGGCCCCCGAGAAACAGGGTCCCACTGAGGACCCCAGTGCCCTACGTCATCATCCACCACACGGCAGGGAACCGCTGCACCTCGCAGGCCTCCTGCAGCCAGCAGGTCAGGGGCATCCAGAACTATCACATGGACACCCGGCGCTGGCCCGACATCGGCTACAAGTGAGTACGGCAGGGTGGGGCGGGGGCCTCCACAGAGCTGAGGGGCATATGCCCCTAGGAGGCCATGGGGGGCAGGAGGGGTGAAATGGGGGATATACTGACCCTCCCTTCCATCGGGGGGGGGGGCGGGGAGGGAGGAAGCACCCTGTGAAGGGGGGGCTGAGGGATGATGGGGAGCCAGGGTTGGTGCTGAGACTTGGAAGTGCGGGAACCGTATTTAGGCTGGGAAGGGCCAACCCAGTAGTTCCTGATCCTGTTTCTCAGGCAGTTCCTCAGCAGTTGGCCCCCCGTGTGTCCCCCCGCCATGCCCTGCCCAAGTGCTGGTGCCCTGTCCCATCCCTCGCCCCACCCCAGCAGCTGCCGTTCATGCTCCTGCCCCTCCCCCAGGCCGGGACCCAGGGGGGCTGGAACACGGGACCAGGCTGGGCCTTGGCTCCAGACCCTCCCCCAAGTCCTGCCCCCTCATGAGTCACTGGGGGAGGGGGCAGGTGGAAAACATGGCCGGTGCAGAGATGTGTTTGCACCCCCAGCCCTCCCAGCTCTGCGAGCCCTGCCTGCCCTGGAGGGGGACGGGGGCCACAGAGCCCCTGGCAGGGGGAGATTGGGGGGGGCTGAGGGAGTCCCTGAAGAACGGGGGATGGAACCGGGCAGTCATAAAGCTGGTGGGGGGATGGAGGGCCACAGGGAGCCCCTGGGCCGTGCCAGGAGCTTGGCTGACAGATGCTGCGTGGCCTGTGCCCTGCTCATCTCTGACACTGCCCCGTGCCGGTGTTATCAACACCTTTCCGTGGGGCCGGCCTGACGCCCCGCAATGAAAACCTGGCCGGAGATTTTGCTCTGTGAAATGTTTTGAGATGGTGACGTCGGGGGATGGAAACCCAGCTGGGAATTTCCCGCAGGGTGGCGGGTCCCAGCGCTGTTCTCCTGCCCCACATCTGGGCCGGCTACAGCCCTCCCTCGCCCCCCACCTGTGTCCAGGTGGGGCCCAGGGCTGCTTCCATAAGGGGCTTTACACAAAGCGCCACCTAATGGCCAAACAGTGCAATACAGGTTAGCCCCCCATTCCAGTCCCTTTCCTCAGTGGGTCTTTAGCTGCATGGCAGAGGATTGAGCTTCTAGCTCCGAGGGTCCCAGGTTCAAACCCGGGCAGGGCCAGCAACGACCCTGGGGGAGCTGCCGGGAGCGATAGGGAGGGGAGGCTGCGGCCGACGTGCCTGTGCGGGTCTCACACTGCGCTCTGCCTGCAGCTTCCTGATCGGCGAGGACGGCAGAGTCTACGAGGGCAGAGGCTGGAGCAGCGTGGGGGCCCACGCCTACGGCTGGAACTATAAGTCGCTGGGATTCAGCTTCCTGGGCAACTTCTCCAGTACGTGGGTCCCGTCTGTACGGATTTCCCTGCTAGGGTTGCCAGGTGCCCGGTCGAAAGGGGACCCTGGCAGCTCTGGTCAGCACCGCTGACTGGGCCGTTAAAAGTCCAGTTGGTGCGGGCTGGCAAGCTCCCTACCCGGCTCTGTGCAGATCCCAGGAACGAGCCGGCATTTCCTTCCAGCTCGGGGGCATCCACGGAGCTCCGCACGCTGCACCCACTCCAAGCTCCGGCTCCGCAGCTCCCATTGGCTGCACTTCCCGGCCAATGACAGCTGCGGAGTTGGTGCTTGGGATGGGGACAACGTGTGGAGCCCCCGTGGCTGCCCCCAAGCTGGGGGGACATGTCGCCGCTTACTGGGATCTGCCTGAAGTCAGCACCGCCTGGAGTCTGCACCCCAAAGCCCTTTCCATGCCCCAACTTAGAACCCTCTTCTGCACCCTAACTCCCTCCCGGAGCCTGCACCTCACACCCCCTCCCGCACCTCAACCCCCTGCCTCAGTCCTGAGTCTCCTCCCACACTCCGAACCCTCAGCCCCAGCCCAGAGCCTCCTCCTGCACCCCAAACCCCTCATCCCTGGCTCCACCCCAGGGCCTGAGTCCTCATGCTCCCCGCCCCCCCCCCAACCAGTGAAAATGAGCGAGTTAGTGAGGGTGAGGGAGAGAGAGCGAAATAGGGAGGGGGGATGGAGTGAGTGGGGGAGGGGCCTCAGAGAAGGGCGGGGCAGGGGTGGGGCCTCAGGGCAAGGCTGTTCGGTTTTCTGCAATTAGAAAGTTGGCAACGCTCCCAGGCCGTGCTGGGAGCTGGGAATCCCTCCTGCAGGGCTCCCGCCCACACCTGCTCTCCTGATGCCCGGGGCAGGGGGTTCTGCCCCAGAGACCATCTCCGGTGATGTAGGAATTAGTGACGACGGGTCACTGCTGCAGAGCGACCTGGCTGGCTGCAAGCAAACAACGTGGGATTTTCATCCAGCCAAGCACAAGGGCAGGGATGGGGCCCAAGGAACGCAGGCCAGACCTACGGCCTGGAGCCTGGAAAGCAGCGACCCAGAAAGGATCTAGGGCCGGGGAACACAGCTGAGCAGGGGCAGCCCGTAGGACCCTGGAGCTGTAGTGACCTTTGGCTGTACAGGGAGGGGAGAGCGAGTAGGAGCGGGGGCGGGGGGGGGGGTCACCTGTATACGGCATCACTGGGCCCGTCACTGGATCCCCTGGCTGGCTCTGGTGGCCCAGGGGCGTTTGCTCCACTGGCTAATCGCCCTCCCTGTTCGAAATTTGGGCCTTATTTCCCGGGGAACGTGTCTGGCTTCAGCTCCCGGGCCCCAGCTCCTCTTCTGCCTTTCTCCGTGCGGCTAACGCGCCCGGCAGGTCCTGTGTTTCCTCCCCGGGTGATCAGCTGGGTGGGCTGAGCTCTGCCCGTCCCGCTCTGGCAGCCATTTCTCCAGCCCACCCATTGTGTTTGGGGCTCTTTTTCCACGTCCCTTTTATCACATGGGCCCCAGAGCCGGGCGCAGGATCCAGCATCCGTCTCCCCACGGCCGGACACAGGGGGAAAATCCCCTCCCTGGCCCCTACTCCCCTGTTTGTCCCGCCCAGGATCCCTTGAGCCCTGCGTGTCCTCGCGTCACCCTGGGAGCTCAGGTGTGGCTGGTGACCCCTAAATCCTGCCCAGAGCCCGGCTCTGCAGGGTGCAGCCCCTAGGCTGGAGGTGGGGCCTGCGGCCCTGGCCTCCCCCGGCAGAGAGCGCCTGAGCTGGGCACTCACAGGGTGGCGGCAGGTGGGGACACTGAGCTCCCTGTGACAGGTTCCCTCCGGGGTGCCACTTGGAACTGGGGTACCACTGAGCCCGCCTGAGCCACCAGCCTGGTTTCCCTTTACGCTGCGCTGCTGTGACAGGCTCTCGAGGCCCCTCCAGCACACGCAGATAGGGACACCCCCAGCTGCAGAAACACACAAGATGCTGAGATCAGCTCTGGCTGGGAAGGCTCAGGTAAGGGATTGCCCAGCCCTCAAGTGCACCCCCCCCCCCTCTAGAGGAGAAACCCAAAATTGTACCGTCTGGCACTGGACAGCGCAAGCTCATGAAATTCACCCCCTCCCTCCATGTGGAGAAAGGCAGGCACAGCTTTTGCCCCCCAGTGATGATTTCCACACGCTGGTTTTAGACCGAACAAAACCAAGTTGATTAACTACAAAAGATAGAGCTGAAGTGATTATAAGGGAGAGCAAACAGAGCAAAGCAGATCGCCAAGCAAATAAAACAAACACGCAAGATAAGCTTCAGATAGTAAAGAAACTGGCTCCAAGCAGTAATTTCTCACCCTAAATGTTTTAGGCAGATTGCAGAGATTCCTGAAGGCTGGCTGCACTGGCCTGCAGCGAAAAGCTTCAGAAATTTCATTCACAGGCTAGACACCCTTCCGGTCTGGGCTCAGCACGTCCCCCGCCCCAGTCTTTGTTTCTTAGGTGTTTCCAGCAGCCATCCTGGGCAGGGATTCCGTGAAGAATGAGCGTTGATGATGTCACTCCCCTGCCTTAAATAGCTTTACATATGGTGGGAAGCCTTTGGGCACTCACAGGGCGGCTGCAGCTGGGGGCACTGGGCACCCTATGCCCCCTCCCAGCTGAGAGCTCGGGGGCGGGGGTTGGGATTCAGTGAGAGATCTGCCCCGGGGCTAACCCAGCTGGCTTCAGCGCCATCCCGCCGGGCTCTGCCACGGTCGAGCTCCCCCCTGTGGGGCACTGGGCTGGGGCACAGGGCTAGGAAAGGGGGGGAGGGACCTTGGCTAAGCAAATGCAGCTGAGCGGGGGGGATGCATTACCGAATGTGTGGGAGGGAGTGACATTGACGTGGCCAATGGAGAGCGTGGGCAGAGGGGGGTTATTTATGCAGGCTACAGTCACATCCCCTGGGCAGCAGAGAGGGGCCGAGGGCCAGGGTGAGATTAACACGGGGCTGTTCTGTCCTGCAGGCAGAGCCCCCAACGCTGCCGCCCTGAACGCCGCCAAGAGCCTGATCCAATGCGCCGTCTCCAAGGGCTTCCTGAGACGCAGCTACACCCTGACGGGGCATCGCAACGTGAACCCAACCAGCTGCCCCGGGAACGCCCTCTACAGGGTCATCAGCAGGTGGCCCAGGTTCAAAGGCAAACCCTGAGTCGCTGCAGCCTCGGGGAAGCCCCTGCGCCCATCGCTGACCCCGCCTGCGGCTTCTGCCTTCTCAAGCAGCACCTCCGTACTCCAGCAGGGGGCAGCCTCGCGCTTCCCGCCCACCTGCTGCCTCCTGGGGCCCGGAGAGCAGGGATCTGAGAGTTGGGGTTACGCTCCCGTCTCCCCTGGGCTCTGCTGCCCTCCCTCACCCCAGGGCTCAGATTTCTAATGGTGCCTTGGAGCCAACTGCCCCCCCCCCATGTGGCTTTCTTCGGCAGAGGCCAGGCCTAGCCCCTCGCTCCCGCCCAGAACGGGCACGTCGGCTCAGCCCGGCTCCGCACACAGCCAGGCCCAGGGTCTGACAGCATCCAGGGGGTGGGGCCAATCCTCAGCCGAGCTCCGTGGCGACCTCCCTGCCAATCCCTGGGCAGCTCAGGGAATGTCGCCTCCATTCCCGTGTTAAACGTCTGAGCAATTCTCACTTCCAGAGTCAAACCCTCCTCTGCCCCCAGCCCCCTGACATCTGCAGCGAAATTCATCTGGACTCCCCAGAAATTGGTCGCTATTTACCCCACCCCACAAAGGGAACCCCAGTGTCCCCGAGCCCTGACCCGCAGCTCGGCCTGGCCCCCCTAGGGTCTGGCTCTCACAGCTTTCAGCCCCAGCCCCTTTCGCCCTGACAGTCCATTCCCACCAGCCTCTCACCGAGGGGGGTGAAGTGTTTGGATCTTCACACGGCAGGTGCCTGGGAAGGACCCGGCGGGTGGTTCGCAGAGTCCCACAAAGGGGTTTTAATTCAAGTGCAATTTGCCTCTAACCCAGCGCCCCTGCGGCTTAGCGCTTGCTTTGCTTGGGAGCTTCTGAGCAGTGACAATAAACCAGCTTCTAGCACATGAAAAGTTGAAGCACCGTGAATCATTTCATCTCCTGTTAAACCATAACCACCCCCCACCGCTGGGCTGGGCTGGGAGAGCTCAGAGGGTGAGATTATGGTCTGTCAGAGTGGCACTAAGAGGCCCCACTATGCTAGGTGCTGTACACACAGAGCATGAGACAGACAGTCCCTGCCCTAAAGAGCTCACGGTCTAACTAGACACAGGGTGGGAGGGGAAACTGAGGCACAGGGCGGGGAAAGGGTTTTGCCCAAGCTCCCAGGCCAGTCAGTGGCAGAGCAGGGAACACACCCCATGGCTGCAGTCCAGCGCTCTGCCCACTAGGCTGTGCTGCCTCTCAGTCCCACTGTAAGACAAATAAGGGAAAAAATAGAAAAGTTTAAGGGAAACAAGGGCCCCCCACTATGGGCAGGGCCGGCCCTAGACTAAACGGCGCCCCAGGTGAGCAGCGTCTTCAGCTTCATTTTTATCTAAGCTGATAGAAACTGTTTTTAGTTTAAGAATAACTGAAATGTACTCACATGAGGAAATTGATCTGTGCCCCAGTCTCGAGTGGGCCAGTATTAAATAGTGTTACTGCAGGTGGGAGCGTTAGAATGGAAACCCTCATCCTTTAGTTCCCAAGGGCGTTTTTCTCGCCTCTGCCCTCGCCAATGGACGCTCAGCGTCCGAGAGATCCCAAGACTGGCCAAAGGCATTTTCCAGCGATAAAATAGCCGGCGAGGCCCGTCTCCCGTCAGCCATCGTCCATCCAAGACGTGTTGTAATGAACCTGAGTTTCAAAAGCTGCGCCCACCACGCGCGACTGTGCCCGGCCGTGGGAGCAGAATCCTGAGAGTGTCCTGCGGCTCTGCATCATGCATGAATTGGAGAACTGGGAGGGGAGAGCGCTTCCCGTGTGGCAAAATGTGACGGGTGTTGGCCAATTCGACATAGGGTCTTTATCATTGAAGTCTGAACATTCCCCGTGTGCCAGCGTCTGGTGAATTGTTCAAGAGTGTTTTCCTGTCCACCGGCAGCTTACTAAGGTCACGCAACCCGTCCTGGTCTTTTCATGCAGCTTTATTTGTCCAAATTTTCATCAATGGACACTCGAGCAGTGTCCCCCAATGGAGTCACGCCCCCCTCCGAGCCAGGCCTGGAAGGCCCCTTGTCTGGAGACATTTCCCTGTGCTAGGACCTCTGCCCAGGCCCCCCCAGTTCTCCTCAGCCACTTGCTGCGCTTGGCTGCGGGGTACCGTGTGATACAACCGGCGCCTGCCGTCCCGGCTCTGGGCCCGTGGCTCCCCCTGCAGCTTGGCCCTGGCTCCGCACTGGCGCGGCTGGTCTGTGCTGCCCCAGCTCCCGGCTCCGGCCTGCTCCAGCCCAGCTCGGCCCCCTTAGCTCTGCCCGGCCCCCAGCCCAGCTGCGCTCCCCTTAGCTCTGCCCTGCTCTGCTTCAGGCAGCCCCAGCTCACACAGAAGATGGGCCCCTGGGCGCCTGACTCTCTCGTTGGTCTGCTGCCTTGTCAATCAGGAAGATAAGCTCATTGGCTTCTCCCCATTGGCCCTGGGCACTGTCAGTCCCAAGATCCTGATTTCTCTTCGGTCCTTCCCCTTTCTCCTCATGTTGGCATAGATCAACTAGAGCCCCACTAAGTGTCAGTGAGGGTCCAGCAACCCCTGACACATGGGTGGGGGTTTCCTCTGGGTTTCATCCCACGCTCGCAGGCCCCCAGCCCCAAACAGGTGAGACGAGCCCAGAGCATGAGGGCAGAGGCTGGCGTAGCTCAAGGACTAGGGTGACCAGACAGCAAGTGTGAAAAATCGGGACGGGGGTGGGGGGGTAAGAGGAGTCTATATAAGAAAAAGCCCCAAATATTGGGACTGTCCCTATAAAATCGGGACATCTGGTCACCCTATCAAGGACCCATCAGAGCCTTCAGCGGGCGCTGGCACCAGCCAGCAAAGGAAACCACTTGTCCCCCACCCCCAGCCTGTTTGGCCAGCCTCAGTATGTTATGCAGACAAAACCTCACAGGATCGTTTCAGGGGGCAAGACAAAGATGCCACATTTATTATGATAACACAATTTGATTTATGACCAATAACTAATATCTAATACCTATGTATATACACACACAGAGAGACACACACACACACATCCACACACACACACATCCAACAGATGTTCTGCAGCTGCTGTACAGTTACCAGTCCTGAATGTACCTTGAGTTTGTGGCTTGGGTTCGTAGCTTGGGTTCATAGCTTGTGGCGGTAACTGGCCAGGAAAGCCGGGCACAAGGATGAGCTGGGTCTCTGTTGGGCATGCACTGATGCCCTTCCATGTTGGCAGCAGAATGTTACCCTCTAAAGTCTTCCATCTCGCCCATCTTTTTTGTAAGGTTTAGTTTGAAATCCAGAGTCTACAGGTCTTGCTGTGTCGCGCTGCCTCTGGGTTCGATGTGATTGATCACCTGTCAATTGCAGATGTGACTTTCAGCCTCGGACCTGGCTTTGATCTTCCTTCTATTGTACCTTTGTTCTTTTCTTTTTAGAGTGGACTCTTCTTACTTTGTTAGGGCTCTTGTCTGCATCTTCAGCCCTTGGTGTTTGAACTTTATTTCATCAGGACAGGCTGGGGCTGGAGGTTGATTTCATCATCCATACATACCTCATTCACACATCTAAAGTAACCTAATAAGATTACAGCAGGGTTTGCAAAAATGAAGGTTGCAGCAAGCTTACAAAATGGAGTAAGGGTTTTAAAATGGGGTTTGAATTACAATATGGCCAACAGTGAACAGAAGTTACAATGTAGGCAAGTGTAATGAATGGTGAACAGAAGTTACAATACTGAAACAGTGCAAGTCACTGGCTGGGTCTACACTACCCGCCTGAATCGGCGGGTAGAAATCGACCTCTCGGGGATCGATTTATCGCATCCCGTCGGGACGCGACAATCGATCCCCGAATCGACGCTCTTACTCCACCAGCGGAGGTGGGAGTAAGCGCCATCGACGGGAAGCCACAGAGGTCGATTTTGCCGCCATCCCTACAGCGGGGTAAGTCGGCCGCGATACATCGAATTCAGCTACGCTATTCGCGTAGCTGAATTTGCGTATCTTAAATCGACCCCCCCCCCCCTGTAGTGTAGATGTAGCCTAAGTCTCAGTGATTTAAGCAGGAATTGGATGGATAGTGAAATTTACAAGGGTAACTGGCTGAACAGCTATGGCTCTTAACAAGCATCTTAATTGTCAATTAGCCAGTTATTGGGGTAACCGGTTTTATGAATGAATGTTGTTTCATTCATTCATAAAACGTTACTTATGTACAATTTCATTTATCAGTTCTACAAGTAGCACCCTGTGTCGGTGCTGCCCCCGGGTGGGGACGGATGGGCAGCGGTGACCCTGTTGCCGCAGTGAATAAATGGGGGTGTTGGGGCAAGAAATGAAATGAGCAAATGGAGCCACAACCTGGGGCGCGTCCCGTTGTGCTGGCAGCCCCAGCGTATGGCAGGATCCGGGCAGGGCGCCGCGTCACTAGGATTCTGTGCACGGAGAGAGCACTACCCAGGAGAAGCTCCCGCTAGAAGGGTCTGAACTTTGATAGAGTCCACCCGTAACCACTAGAACCCCCCCTCCCTCTCCCAGAGCCAGAAATAGAACCCCGGCATCCGGGACCCCAGGTCTTCCTCCCAACAACTACTAATCCCCCCTCCCCTCCCAGAGCTGGGACTGCAACCCAGGAGTCCTGGTTCCCAGCCCCACACATGGTTTCCCACTGCTTTGAGCCAGGATCAGTCAGGGGTCTTTTTAACATTGGCTGCCCTCGCTTGGGGGCAAAGCTCGGCAGATCCCAGCAGCATCCATGTAGCAGATCCACGTTCCTGTGGCGGTACCACGCCAGCCTGGCCTGGCATCTGCCGGCTGCACTGGAGCAGTTGGGCGCGGTCTCTGGTTAGGGGGTGGAACCTGGGGGCTTGGCTACGGAGCCCAGCCGCAGCTGTCAGGCTCCAGGCCCAGGTCTGGAGTTTAGATCTCAGCTGGGCCTCGAGCGCCTACAGATCTGTCATTCTGGTGTGCCCGCCAGAGCCAGACCCACTGGCTCCACCCACGATCATTTCCACCTGTCAGCTCCGGCAGGGCGAGGCAGGGCACAGCCTGGCGCAGGCATCCTCACTCTGGAGCTGCACCCCAAAAACCTCAGGAGAGTAACAACAAAATCCAGGGCTGCCCAAGCCGATCCAAGTCGTCTGAGCTTTCGGGGGCCTCCCGTTTCCTCTGCAGCCCCCAGGGCTAGAATCTTCTCCTATGAGCTGGGTGCTTCCTTGTTATGGGCTGGGTTAAACTCCCATTGAGGTTGGTGGGGGCTAGTGTGTGTATGTGTGTGTGTGAGTGAGTGAGTGAGAGAGAGAGAGAGACCCTGGAAAAAGCTAGAGAGAGCGATGTTGGGTCTGGTGTTGGCTAAAGAGGCCTGGGTACATTCTTGGTCAGAAAACAACGCTGCATCCAAGAAAATCCATCAATTTCTACTTCCAGCTGGAAGGTCCCCAGGGCCCCGGACTTTGACGAGCTGCTCAACTTCCTTTGTTAAAAAAGGGGCGACTCAGGCCCTCCCAGAATACCAGGAATCTGGGAGCTGGGGCTTTTCAACCCCCTCCCCCACCAATA